AGGAGAGAGACGAGAGAGAGAGCGAGATGGAGAGAGAGGATGAGGAGAATGAGATGAGAGGAGAGAGAGAGGGAGAGAAGAGAGAGAGAGAAAGAGAGAAGACAAGAGACGAGAGAGGAGGAGAGAGAGGAGGGAGAGAGAGGAGAGTACGCACTGCGGAAGCGGTCGACGTCTTCGAGCAAGGCCGGCGCGGCGGGGGCGGGGGAGGGCGGCGCGAGACCGAAACGCAGCAAGACGTGAGAGAGGCGTGGACGGAGGACGCCGGGGCGTGGCGTAATCGTCGCTGCGGCGGGGGCGAGGACGGACGTCGATGTGACCGGACCGTCGGACCGGCGGGGGTGTGTGGACGTGTGTGTGTGCGTGATTGTTGGACCCTGCAGCCGTATATCCGGGGATACCGCTCCGTATCGCCGGGGGGGGGGGCGCCGTGATCGTCGGACCTTCGCGCCGGACGGACGTTGGCGTGGGGCGACCGGCGAACCCTAGAGCCGTGTATCCGGTGACGCCGCGCTCTCCATCCGTGCGGCATCCCGCACGTTGCTTCTTCGTGTTTTTTTACCGGGCAGTGTTTCGTCTTTCGAGGATCGTGCGTTCGCTCGCGGTGCGAGTGAGGGTTTGAAGCGATTCGTCGTGTGTGTAGAATGCTGTGTGTGTAGTCTGCTGCCTTCCTCGGTGTGTGACGTCTCTCTGGCTTTTAGATCGACGATCGGTGACGGACGTCGTGGGTTTTTTAACGGAGATTGTAGATGTTTCGGGTTTGGGACGTGCGACGCCCCCTGTGAGCGTTGCGCGTGAATTGCGACTATGCTCGCAGAGTTTCACTGGTGATCGTGATATTAAGCGATGTGACGTCTATTGGTCAGTCGAGACTGACGAAAGATCTGATTTAGTCAGGACTATCGATCGATCGTTGGAAAGTTTCATCGATGCAGTTACTGGATACCCATCTTCCGTCTGAGCGAAATAACCATGCGCCCTCTCCCATTAATATTGCCGCTAGCTCGGTCAGGCCAGGTCAGTTCATACATGTCTTTCGCACGCGCGTGCGCCTAATTGTTGACATCGCTGCACTTTGTTGCTGAGCTGTGGTTTTTTCGAATGCCCGTGTAACAGCAGTGATTTGCGGCCTACCTGTTCGTCAGTTCGGGTGGATCGGTTAGTTCATTGATCATCAGTTGGTGGGTTCATTGACTATCTTGTTCTTGTGGGTCGACTGTGTATCTGATTGCATTCCAGACTACATCTGCCAATCGTCCGCTAGCGAAAACGATAAGAGGTCATTTCCATTATCAAGATTAACTGACGAATGCTCGACTTATGCCACAAAATTCATGCGAGAGATATATCCCAATAAGTAACAACTGACCAATGTTGGAACAGAGAGATCGTGTGATGAAAAAGGTCAATTTTTGTACATAGCCTTTGCCGTTCGTGCTTGAAATGCCTTTGAAAAGAAACGCCCTGCTCCCGCTGCTACTTCGTATCTATATTTTCCTAGTTTTAATGCTCCAAACACGTAAACTGCTTCTATTTCTAAGAATCGATTGCGCGAGTGTGTGAATACAACCTTTTAAGTTCCCCCTAGATGTGCCCAGTAGGCACACAATGCAATTAATACAAGTCGTGTACAGAGTGTTTGGGGAGGGGGCAAAAATATAAGTGTAAGCATCTATTGATAACCCTGGGGCCTCGTTGTCAAAAACAAAATTAGCCTTAAAACATTAGTCTTAACATTGACTTTTTCTCGTAAAAGGACCGGACCCTCTTCTATACACTTCGTATGAGAAACACGTAACCTTACCATGTTTGTGTCAACGGTCTATGAGAAAAAGTTAATGTTAAGAATTTTGTTTCTGACGATGGCGCCCTGGTCGTCTGCTCCTGCGATGAGACGTTGCTATGGCAACGTGCGTACAGACGACGTTTCCGTGTGATATAGGAGATTGCAATCGAGTTAACGACGAGCATAAATTAGTCGTAAGTAGCAAGCAAGGTTACTTTACTTTAGTCGTACTTAGTCTATTATTAATATTTGTCTTCAAAATCCAAGGTACTACATCGAAGATAGAAAGAGACAAAGTTGATCAAATTGACGGATCAATACTGCGGATAGGTGTAGAAAAATCCTCAAATTTTGCAATTTACTAAAGAGGAAAGAAGGGAGAGAATTCCAATACGGAATGATGTAAACACAGAAGCTAAACTTAAAGGGATCCTTTGAAGATGGCAACTACTAGTAGTGTGTCCTAGCGGCTGTCGTTTCCAGTCGACCTTTACTTCCAGCGTCGAGATGCACGATTCACCGCGGTTGCTTTCATACTAGCGCCCTCTACTTTAATTTTTTAATCCAAGATCTTAACTTTTACTTGTTAACAGTTTTAATTTTTTTGAATGGATCTGCTGGTGATAATCTTGGTGTATCTTACAAGCGTTATCGAATGTAACCATTTTTACGCTCAAAGAGCGAAGTTTTTTAATTTCGCAGGCGTGTACCCCGCGTTATTGCGCGCGCGTGTAGCTATCATGCGCATATGCAAAAACCATCGATTTACAAACTTTCTTTTCCGAGAGGTTTGCTTCCCGTGCCTCTGTTTGTAAACATTGAGTGGAGGAATCGTCATGCTCGCGTCCGAATCTTCGTAACTTGTCGGTCTAGTGTCTGTATTTCGTGTCATGCATTTCAGTGCATTGTGATCCGAGAGATGGCAGCACTAGACATTACAGATGTTTGGTTGGCCGGTTTGTTTCCTGCAGGGCACCTTCGAATTGATGTTTTCCTGATGGTTGAATACTTCTTTTTCGAGAAGAATCTTTGTAATTTACGTTATAGCTACATAATGTGCAAAGAGTGAAAATTGAGTCATAATGTTGTGTGCGTTTCCCGTTGTTACTCGTTACATGCGTAGTGTTTGTTACGTAGCGTCGACCTATCCAATAGGCTCTTGGTTATATTGTTCCAAAAATAAATTGGTTCGCGTTGCTGCATTTATTCGTAATATACGTTATATAGAGAGTGTGATGTTCCGTGCATTTCGTGCCTTATACGATGTAGCCGTATTTGTAATAAACCTCGTCTATGGTTGAGATGTCAAATGATTGTCGTTGGATCTGATATTCGCAATGTTCGTCACCGATCAACTTTTCCATGTTTACGATGTGGTTCGCGTGTGCCGCGTTAATAATTAATAAAATTACAAATAAGTTGAACTAACAATTAATAAACATTTAATAACGTAAATAATTTAAACGTTACAAATGCAAAAAACTACTACAAAACTTCACTCCCACCATGTTCATTCTGCTACGCTAAAGTACATGAGTAATTACTAATTCGGATTGTTTCAGGATGCGGCTCCTCTAGAAAGAGTACACGCACAGCAGGGGCCCGTTGTCGGAAACGTCATGGGTAATAATTACTATATATCACATAACTCCGCTTTTACTCCCCCCAACTATTGCGATTACAGTCCTATAGACCGAAGGCCCGATAGACCGAAGGTTTATTCGAATACGCAGTGGCTACACGTCCGGAATCGGTCGCTTAGCCTCCAGGCTACGCATCCGGACATCCACTGAAGCGCGTATCGAACTTGAATATGGCCGGCACATGATCCCCCGATCCACTGATCAATCAATGATGCCACTATAAACATATATATCCCATAACCCTAACCCTAACCGCTAACGGCCTAACCCTAAACCCTAACCCTTAACCCTAACCTAACCCTAACCCTCTAGCTAGCTAACCCTAACCGCTAACCCTAACCCTAACCCTAACCTAACCCGTAGACCCTAACCTCTAACTCCTAACCCTAACCCTAAACGTCTTTGCAATATTCGCGTCTATCGAGACCTTCGTCTATAGGGCTGCCCCCGTTATTGCACAGCACTATACACGTGCAAAACTTTTAGAGTGAACTTTAGACAAAACCCTTAGACAGATGAAACGTTTTTGTGCAGAACTTTAAAGATTATAAATCAACGTTTAGCTTATGAAGTCATAACGTTCAGGCGATTATCCACCAACGAACCCCCCGCCCCCCCCCTGAATTATGCGTAACTTAGACCGCGTTTTGCTCCAGTACAACTCTTCCACGGGAAAACGTAATGCACTTGTAAAGGTCGATGAGCTGTAAGTTGGAAGGAGTCGTTGATCGTCGAAAGATGATGAATAAGATCGCAATTCACAGAACTTGTGTGTAAACTGTATAACTTTTAATATCTTACACACCTCACATCTTCTTACACACAGACAAAGACCCGCGCACGACCGCGCGCACGTGCGCGTACTTCTCGCTACCAGCCCCAGAACTCCCAATCTCCTTCCTATTACATCTCTCCTATATTATTCGCAGACCCAAAACTCCTAATCTTGAGGGCGGCCACATGTCACGACCGTCTTGGTCCAGTTCGCAACCGTTCCTCCCTATTTCACAATCACCCTAGAAACTGCCTAAACCTAGAACGCGCATATAACCCAAACTCCCTAATACATCAATGAGCCGCCGCATGCTGGTTGCAGTGACTGCTGTCTAGCTACTATGGCTAAAAACAACTACCTCCGTCTAGCTGCCACTGACTAATTCATGTAACGCGTAGAGCGTATAAAAATAGACGTTTAGCAGAGGCGACCACAATGCTATTCGATGAATGCATCATTATCTCGATCTGCAGTTGATGTGTCGCATACTGTATGGTGAATATATATAGTGCATATATATGATATATATATATAATATATATATATATTATGTGTGTGTGCGTGTGCGTGTGCGTGTGCGTGTGCGTGTGCGTGTGCGTGTGGCGTGTGCGTGTGCGTGTGCGTGTGCGCGTGTGTGTGTGTGTTGTGTGTGTGCGCCGCGCGGCGTGTGTGGTGTGTGTGTGGGTGTGTGTGACTGTGTGTGTGACTGTGTGTTGTGTGTGTGTGTGTTTGTGTGTGTGTGTGTGTGTGTGTGTGTGTGGTGTGGTGTGTGTGTGTGTGTGTGCGTGTGTGTGTGACTGGTGTGTGTGTGTGTGTGTGTGTGTGTGTGTGGTGGTGTGTGCCGCGTGCGTGGCGTGCCGTGTGGCGTCACCGTATAAGTGCTCCAAGGTCTGTGTAATGACCGGCGCAATAATGCACATCGCATTAGCATCCGCGGGTCGCCTACCGATTCAATTCATTACTAAATTATGTTCGTCGCTGGACAGATGAACCGGAGGCATTACGGATAGTTCCGTGCGCTGTTGTCGACGGCCGATAGCCACAAGTTAGCCTTTCTCGTTCAATAGCCACAAGTTACCTTCTCGTACATAGCCACAAGTTACCTTCGCTTCTACAATACGCGGTCGAGAAGTACTGTATAACTGTATATTTTCGGCGGTGGTTTAATTTCGCGAAAATTTCGCGAACGCGCCGCTGAAGCGCTAAATTAACAAACGCGCACCTAATTCATAGCGAAAAAAAAATTCATAGCCGAATAATATACGAATAAAATTCATCATTAAAAAGCGGCAGAGGGTCCGACAGACGCGAAATTAAACTCACGTCCGAAATCTGTCGCGAATATCGCGCCACTCGCGAAATTAACCCACTCGCGAAATTCGCTATAAATATCTGTACCGAAAAATATGGCGTATATAGTACGTGAAGACGCGCGTACACGCGAGACAGTCGAGAAGGGCTAGTGCGGGCCCGTTGTCGAAGGATAACGGAATGCTTCACTATTGCAGGCGCGGAGTCCCGTGCGATAGCTGTGGCAGATAAAGCGCAAAAGACGTAGGATATATATTATGTGATAGTATAATATGTGATATATATATAGTGATATATTATGTGATAGTAATAAAATATACGTAAATATATATATATATATATATATATATATATATTATATATATAAATAATATAATAAATAAATATGATGTTCAGACAAAGAGTCGCTGCCACGCGCACACTCTTCTCGTTCATCCTCCGCACGA